AATTTGAGTTTGCGCCCCCCCCCCCCCCCCCGGAGCCATTCACTTTGACTCCCCTGCTCTGGGCTATCTATCCCACCGATGGCTACACGACAGGTGAGCCCTCACCTGAGAGATACAGTGGTGCCAACCCATCCTCTCCAGACCAGCCACTGCCAGGATGATAGCGTCGTAGATGTCCTGCTCCGCCAACTTCTGGAATCTTGTGTTTAGATTTCCTCTCTGAACGGACACTTAAGGAAAAAAATAGCTCCAGAACATCCATTTGCAACACAGTACTTGCAACACAATTAGGCCGTATAAGTAGGTAGCGTAAACACGGCCTCATGGCCTTCCGACCGCGTGGTATTGGTGAAATCGGGGTAATTCTGATCGCTGTTTCTTTGCTCTTTCGCTATAAAACACCAAATGCCGTACACCTTGTAAAAGTTCAGCTTTTCCTCGTTGCGATGGTGTAAGTTGTTTATATGTCCGATTATTAGGAGCTGGAGAATCGCCGACGAAAGCGAAGCCCCTCGCGGTCCGAATGCGTGGTCGGCCGGTTCAAAAATTGACATGCGTGCATTCAAATGCTTCGCGGAAAGAGCGATGATTAAATACCGTCTTTTCATTGGCGGAGAACTGTAGAGCTTTAAACGGGCTTTCCTGTGGTATGTATTTGGTCTTTGGTGTTTAACCCTATCGCACTTAGCAGGCTTGGCCAGCTGTGGCCCCCCATCCTTAAGACAAGGGCAACAACTCCACGAAAATTGACGGGGTACCTTACTAAAAATATTGTATAAAATCACAAACACAGCCAAAAATGATGAAAATAGTATTTTCTGAAAGGAAAATGAATGAGCTAAATTACTAGTACAAAATTATAAGTGGAATAGAAGAGTATGAAATGATATGAGAGGTCTTTCTGAGATGCGTGTCTTGGATTCCGAGTCTAGATCTAGATCTAGATCTAGATCTCGTTTACATTTCTTCAACTCACAAAGTTTCTGCCACTGACAAAGAGGTAATCCACACAAAAGAAATACAACACATTCACAGAGATTGGAGCCTCTGGTGGAAACTTGAAATCACCTAAAAGACTTTTCTTTGGGTGTTTTTATTTTGTTTCTGCCGTACTCATATCGGGCAGCTTTGCGCCCATGCATCCTAGAGACATGATGGCGTGTTTACAACTAAAATCTCCTCCGACTTTTGTTCCCGCTCAAAAAGTGACTCTTTGTTAGAGAAACAAGAAAAACACCATAGTAAACCGGAACTCTTCCTCTATAAAGATAGGTAAGTGAAACTTCTGATGATAGTAAAAGTATAAGCCTCCCGCGGCAACGAAACAAACACCCCCGTGGCGGGCGCATTCGGGCACTATAGGGATGAGCGGGGGTCACCGGCGCGGGCGCATACGGGCGCTATAAGTGCGAAACGGTTAAATAAAAAGCTTTTAAAAATGCTGTCAAAATGTTTAAAGATCACTTTTTACACAAAATATGTAAAACATCGGCTTATAAAAAAATTCATTGAAAAGATCAGTTTATTTCCTATTAGAATAAAGTAATCAACATGGAATTATTTTACATCAATCCTTCCGCAAGACTAGGAAAGCATGTGACCCCGCACGCGTGGTACACTACAGTATAAGCCGACTCGCTCGCCGCGTGTTTTTGTCGAAATAACGACAGATCGTGTTTGAAGTGATAAAATACTGATTTGTAATGATCTCACAGTCTTGAAAAAAATTCGGCTCCATATATTTGTTATAGTGATTGTACTCTGTTAATGTGGAGATGTTTAGTGCACTTGGTACTCTTTTATTGTCTGTCAAACATGGGGTTGCAGCCAGTGACTGACTTTAACAAATTTAATCAAATTTTTAAACAACTACCATTTTCTTAGAAATTGACTGAGAGGTTAAAGAATGGTACCAAAATGCTCAGTGGATATAGGCCTTTCAAATGGAACAGATAAATTTGGCATACAGCTACTTTGAAAATTTAGTATCTGGTACCTAGTATAAGTGCTGAAGATTCTACAAAAGAGTACGGTAACAAAAACCAAAAAAAAGAGCATCAGAGAAAACAATGATAAGACATTTCATAGCTTAGAAGGAGTAAACCACACCAGAGCACCCGTCGACAACTCGCTGAGAGAAAGGATACAATGTTCTCAATCTTGTACTGCGGGTAAAGCCTCTGAACCTGTGCCGCCCTCCGGAGCGAGCTTGTCCCAATAACACTGTAGAAGGAAAAAAAAGCAGCTGTGCCAGTTTCTCAGTCTTCAACATCCCCTGTCAGCTACATATCATTACCTCAGAATTACAAAGTTCTATCTACTCAGTACCTGGTTTTGAGAAATCCGAGTAAAAATCTTTTTAATTTCACAACAAGCGAAGCTTTTTTTTAATGCAATTCTTTGAAAATCTTGATAGCGACTCTTAATATTCTTACAATTTTGACAGAGCAGATAGAGCATTTGGTTTCTGACCTCATGGTAAAAGTAACTCAAAACGGCCAAGAATGTCAGAAAAAATTATGTAATTCTGAGGTGGCGACCTGCTGCCAACACATATTACAAAAGATATGGTTGATCTTTCTTTTAATGTAAACATTCTGCTCTCCCACTGACACTAATCAAATCATTTTAGAGGCCGGCAGCTTCAACACTGCCCGTCAGGACCAAACTGGGCTGAACAGGAGCAGCATCCCTGCAGAAATACAGTCATACTCAATAGGACAGATTTCTTCCCCCACAGGAATCAAATTCACATTCTTTGAAACATGAAACACAAGAGATACTTAACAAATACTTTCATTATTGTCTTGACACAGTAGTGAACAAAGCCATTTAAAACAAAATATTTCTTACCACAAAAGAATTTCCCATCCATGTATTTTCCTGTTCACTCTAAACATTGCAACATATATGAATTCTGCTTAACACTAAGAAATTGCTCCCATGAAGTCCACATTATCAGGGTTTTACTATATTCTGAGTCTAATAATTCATAGATCACCCGCTTACATAGACTCACCCCCCGGAGCGGTGCAACTGACTGAAGTATCTTCAGGCCATTCCCAAAGGGGGGACATTAACATGTTCTTATGCACAGCAGAATTGTAAATCGACTGATTCACCAATGTCATGCTCATAACTGTGCCTGAACTGCAACAGGGAACTGCTGCTTTTTCTTTCCTCATCCTTACTATCATCATTTTTCCTCTACTTCTTTTGTATGTTTGTCACACTCTTGTGACCAGCTATTTCTTGGGTGCCTTGATAGTCGAAGCAGACTTTGTGCTGTTGAAGCTAGAGAGGTGAGCAGAGTAAGCCCGATTCCCTGTAAGGGACTTCTCTGTTGACATCCACCCCTTGGCGCTCATATGACCGTATGCAGTAAAACCTCTCCTAAAATTAAACTAAAACATTTCAGACTGCTTCATAGTCTGCAAATCAAATAATAATTATAGATAGCATTTGTACAGCGCGAATTCTGGCTCAATAATAATAATAATAATAATAATAGATAGCATTTGTATAGCGCATATCCCCGCTCAACAGCAGGCTCTATGCGCTTTAATAGCAAGCTTTGTGTACAAAACAAAGTCAAGTGATCCTTAAAAACCCTCTTAACCCTTTCACCCCCCCCCCCCCCTTCTGAGCCTACAGGACCTGTGCACCTAAACTCATGAGAGCCGACCGCTAGATAAACAACCTCACACTCAAACATGCATTCAGAGAACAAAAGGGTAAAGCCAAGCTTGCAAACAGGCATGCACAGGATCTTGTCCATCAGGGAAATCCCAGCACACTATACACTCACCTTCCTGGTGGTAAATCCTTCAGGGTCTTGCCTGTATGTTTTGGGTGCATCACCACAGCGTCAAACGGGTTGTCCCTCCTGGGAAAGACAGGACAGACAAAAGTCACAAACAAAAAAATGGCACCTTAGTCACCAGCCATGACGACAAGCCATCCTGTGGCGGGCAGATGGGTCAGGACCATAACTAGCACTTCTGCTTTCAGAGAAAAAGCGTACCCATAAACAAGACTGGAAATAAATCTTTGTTCTAAAGACAAGTATATATGCCTAGCAAACAAAAACAAAAAAAAGCATGTTTACTTTTCAATTTGACTTCAGCAGTGTTTGAAAAACATGAAGAGAATACATAGAATCGACAGGTTTTTTTAAAACCTTTCTGAAAAGCAAGTATTCTCTTTGCCAGTCCAGGCATCAGTCTGCGATTGAAAATAAGGTGTTTTTTTAAAGGACAACTGCTGCTGGGGGAGAAAACACACACAAGTTTTCTGCAGAATTTTTTCATTACTGTATATCGTAATGGGGGCTTGCAAAAGGTTAACTCAGAATTCTAGAAGTAGAAATGAACATTTTATTGTCATGTATTAAATTCAAGCCAACTTCATCAAAACTATAGGTTGCAATAACAAAAGATAGGCTGTAATAACAAAAGAAATACTAAAAACGTCTTACTGGGCTGAAAGTAAAAACCTTGATGGATTTGGCCAAATAAAAAGAATAACTGTGGAAACTTTTTTTTACTGAATGACTTATTGCAAAAAAGAAGCTAAAGGGGGAAAAGGTTAAGTACATTATTACACTTATTTCTTCATTTATTCATATTCTTTGGCACAAAAACAAGAGACAAATTAATTATAAGTCCTTAAAACGTAGGATCAATAGCATAAACATTACTCTAACCTCAACAACATTTCATCTTGAAACAACATCCATATGCACATACTCACTTGCAGACACATCCAATGACTAGATGCTCAGGCAAAATTGTCGGGAGATCTTTCAGGGAATGGACAACAAAGTCCACTTGATTCTTTAGCAAAGCATTTTCCAATTCTTTGGTGAACAGAGACTTTTCGCCAATCTGGAAAAGAAGGGAAGCACATTAAAGCCATTGCAGTTCTTTAATCACAAACATAACTTAGATCTAGGTTAAACATTGTTCCTAAAAGAAACATAGCTTCAAGAGCAAGTTGGAACTGGAAGTCCAGTAAGCATCAACTTCAGAAAATAAAAATCTAATTTACAGACTCAAAAATCTACTGGCAGTACAATTCCATCGTTGACTGACTATACTATAATAACAGTTGCACTTCCAGAGAATGTTGTGCCTTGTAGAAGCATTTCCCATGTTTGTATAGTATAGTATAAGGTTTTACGGTGCTCGCAACTGCTAAGGTCATATGAGCGCGTTTCCCATGTTTGAGAGCTGAGAAAAACATAAGCACAAGAACAGTGATGTAGTGCTGAATAAAAGCTAGGTACAGGTAAGACAAAAGCAGCAAACGTGTTTCATTCTGCTGTGTCACGGTCGCATTAATTTGCCATAATTTTAGTCACAATTTCAGTTCGTTTATCACATTTTTAAAAATAAAGCTAGACATTTTCAATTCCTTCATGAAAGAGCTCTACTTCCTACTTACATTCTACTTTTTGAAACTGTATAAGTTTATGACCCATACTTGCTCGGTCCGCGAGTTACCAAGCATTTTACAACATGATATGGTGAAATCATACAATTTCCCCTGACACAACAGACTACTTCTGCCACCTTATGACAAAAAAACGCATGTGTAATAGGTCAAGTAGCATTTTTAAAAAGGGGAGAAAACCCTTTTCATGGCGCACCTTTCTATCTAGGTTATATGGCTGTACAATTAAAATTAAGGAAGTTTTGAGCTTATGAAAATATGTATCGAGACCAAGTTACATATGGATATGATTGTTATGACCAAATTTTTTTTTTATCAATTACTCCATAACTATTTACTGTATACCTCTGGCAATGAATATTCACATCAAATAACTAGACCAACCAAGTTTTAGTTAATTTGAAACACACACACAAGGTTAGTTTTTTTCCTCTCTTGTAAAATTTCATTTTTGACATCTACATTTTTCTGTCATATGACGGCAGATTTGTTAGCAACTCTTGGAGGGTTAACAATTGTAAAGAAAATTTACCTTAGACAGCGCAGAATCCAAAATTCTGTCTCCTGTGGTGGTCATAGGCACTGTAAAGAACAAAAAAAAAAAAAATATTTTCATTAAACTTGAATCACAGAAGACAATACTTAAGGAAAATCAATAACATTTATTTTGGAACTGCCACAAGAACACACAAAAACATTTAAATACATTTGGTTTCTTATTGCTTCAGTGTAAAAGATTCAAAACAAATATAACCTGCCTTTTCATTATAACAGAGCAAAACGCATTCCAGTTGTGGTGAAGCCCACAGAGATGAGATGTGCATCAATAGAAAGATCACTTTCTTTTGATTTTGATGCACATCATCATAGTATAGGTTTAAAATTAACGCTCCTACCAACATTTTCCAGGCAAAGCGTCCGAAATAAAGAACAATTCACTGAAATTATTGTAAATGTTTAGCTTGCCCATAAACACAATTAAGATCATTTAGGAGACAGGTTGCTTCAACCCAGCCTGTCAGGGCCAACCCTGGCTGAGAGGGTTACAAAATATAAGCAATGACACAGAGATCACTCAATAAACTAGACTTCTCCGTGGACATGAATGAAACAATCTTAAACTTTTTGCATGCAGCAGCCAAAGGCCTAATACCTCACAACACACACACACACACACACACACACACACATATAGTATGGGGGGGGGGGGGAGAGTACAGAAAGCAACATGATTTTTGGGGGGTGAAAAAATAGGCTAGCATCTTGAGTTGATGTTCATCCTGAGTCAGTTTTAGTTTCCATTTGAATAAGAGTTTTACAGAACTTCCCACACAGACACAAATATGTCAATATATACTGTGCTGAAGATTAGAGGTGTTACCAGAGAGAAATATAAAGAAAAGGAAGAGAGATAAGGACAGCTGAAATACATGAGGACCCACCAACTACCAGTTTCCAAGGAGGAAAAAAATGTGTCACTTGTACTTACAGGTTTCAAATTTTAATGTTGGATCCAGGGCTTTGAGCATCTGAATGACGGAGTTGGTCTGGATCAAGGCCAGCTGTCAAAAGAAAAAAAAAGAAGGTATTTATCAGGAACAAATGAATAATAATTTTGTTTTAGGTCTCAGCACACCTGTCTTAGTAGCTAGCAAGACCTGCAGTATCCTATATTATTCCATCAGTGATTTTAGTTTTAGTAGAGGTTTTACGGCGCTCGCAACTAACTGCATAAGGTCATATGAGCGCCAGAAGATTAGAGGTGTTACAAGAACAAACATAAAAAAGAAGAAGGAAAGATAAGGACGATAGATGTTTGATAAGAAAGAAGAAGCAAACCACACCAGAGCACCCGTCAACCAACCACCATCAGTGTTTTATCTTTCTATTCCAACGATGTATCCTTCTCCTTATATCTGCTTTTTGCTCAAGCATTACACAGTCATTGTGTGGCAAGACAGTAGGAATACAAAACACACTTGTCACACCTTGTTAAGTTCAAATTGGAATTACAGATTACGGTGGGAGCTACTGAACTCTGCTATTCGTTTTCTTCAGTAAAGACAAGCACATCAACATGATATTGGTCAAACAGTGCCGGGAAAAAGGAAGAAGGACAAACATAAACAAAAGAAAGAAAGAAATAAAGTAGGGCCATCTACAGGCGCCCTCTAACCACTCTCGTCCTCTATTCGTTCACAGGTCGAATCATGGTATAAAGCAGCGAGCACTAGACATAAAAGTCTCGATTCCATTTAGCAAAAGGAATCATTTCGAGAAAATAATGGCCCTTAAATGTCGAGAAAAAGCAAGATGGATAGATAGAAAAATTAGAAAAATAGAATTGGTGCTAAGACAGCCACCTGTAAACAACAACCACCAGTGCAAACAACCTCTTTCCATTCTCACCCCCCCCCTTGCGTGTGTCCTATATAATGGCACCAAAGATCGTAGGCTGTACTATCTTTGATGGCACTACCTAAAACGATAACCTGTCCAAAGGCCAATCACGCACGCACGCACGCACG